AGCAGGAACGAGGGTGCTGTCGCCGGTAGATGGCTGCCTTGGTTTTATGGCCATCCCCGCCCCTGCCCGAGTCCCTGATTAGGACTTTAGTAACAGAACGTTCTGCCACCGCTGGCTTGAGCTCAGCGCTGATCGGTCCGAAAGGCAGTGTGGATGCCTGTGTTCTGATTGCTCTTCTTAGAGGAAACGAAGTTAGGTTAAATACATACTACACTGAAGGCTAGATTTGATTTCTGTAGACAACAGTGCTTCCTGAGCACGGAGTCTCACAAAGAATCTCGTATGTGCTCCAGTAAATCGCGCTCGCATCGCCCACAGACAGAGGGCAGGCCCCTCCTGTACATCACCCAGAGCTCTTTCAGACCGTCAGACCGGTAAACATGTTTGTCGGGCTAGCCACTGAATCTGTAAAGAGGTACCATCTCTTCCTGCGTCGCCTTCCCTCCACTCGTGACTGACATAACGCTGCCTCGTGGTGTGAACTGGAATCCAACGAGTTTCCCTCGAGATAACTTGTCCCTACTATCTGGCTTTATAGACAAAAAACAGGCATGCGTTGCCACAGACAGGGAGTCAGGATCTTTAGAATGTTAAGTAAGAAGTTCCAAAGGCGGAGTGGAGGGCACAGGACTGGGTATAAACGCAGTGCTCAAATACAGAGGAAGCTTGCAATCGGGAGGAAGGGTATTTTAGAGTAAATAAGAGCAAGTCCGTAAGAATGAGGAGCTACACTCAACCCGCCAGCCGGAGGCACAGAAGGGCGGGCCCCCAGGGCCTTACCTCTTGTTCCTGTCCTCCAGCTGCAGCGTGTACACCATGTCGTCGGCCGCGTGCGTCTTGGAGTTGCTATCGCCCCATTTAAGCTTCAGGCTCTGAGGACCAGCTGCAGCACACTCTAGCCTGGGAGGCACTGGAGGTAAGGGCCGAGTTTTGGCTTTAATGAACTGACTAAATGGTCCAGCTCCAATTTCATTTATAGCCTGAATTCTGATCCTGGAGAAAGAGAAAAAATACAGACGATGCAGATTTATGAAGCAGCAAATCCTCCTTTGAAATGAACATCGCAGGGGATATAGCCAGGAAGAAGCACTGCGGTGAGCTTAAGTGCTCCTCTGCAGAGGTACTGTTCTAACTTCTTCCCAACAGTGAGGACAGTGTGCCGTGCCTGCCCGAGGAGCAGCTGGCATGGTGGTGGCACGGTGCTGGCACGGCAAGGCACACCTTCACTTGGCTGCATTACTGCCACCCCTCACTCCACAATGCGCTCAACCGGCTGATACCACCTGTGCTTTTCCTTCCGCTGAGGGGTGGCCATGCACCCAGCAACAGCTGCAAGAACTGGCTACCTTTACGCCATCCTCAGGAAGGTGAGGGTGAGACAGAGCACAGGACCTGAGGAAAACGCTAACACTGACAGCCACCATGACAAACAGGGACAGCCTGCTCTGCTCCAGGGCTTGTGCCATGGGGTAGGGACTATTACTGTCACTGCTTTTAGACATGAGGACTCTGAAGTCTGAATCAGGTTAAGCACTTCGATCTAACCGACCCAGTGGCTGCTAGGTGTGGAAGCCGAGTTGGCACATACACTATCATCTCCAGCGTCTACCCTGACCCCAGCGGGCAGGAATCACTTTGATGAATTACAAGGCAGGAACAGAGGCTGCTGGGCTCAGTCAGGGCACGGATCTGTACACTGGGTGGGGGCGGAGTCGGGTGTGACCCGGTCCCTTCAGGCTCTCAGGCTCCTGTGGCAGGACCACCACCATCTCCCATCATGCCTTGGACTGAAGCTGGCTACAAAGCCAACTCAAAGATAATCTCACTCAAACCGCACTTTGGGTTCAATGGCAAATGCCTTTTGCCAGTGAGATAGACTTTTAGAAGAGTCAACAAGTTTATTTTCACTTTATTCAGTGTTCGGCCCTAAAATTAACAACCTAGATTTTGAAATGCTTACTTCAACCTATCCTATCTTTTTAAAAACTACATTTTGGGACCAGCAGATGGCATTAATGGTTACAATGCTGGACTCTCAAGTAGCTGACCACGGTTGGAGTCCTGGAACAGGCGACTTAAAACTCACACCGGGCATATGTGCATGTATGCCCAAAATCCTGAGAGGAGAATGGAGGAAAAGGGACTGCACTGTGGTCAACCCCCCTGGGGGGGATTTCTCACTTTCTGCCTCTCTTAGTCTCTCTGGCGCACATGTGCCTTATAGCCAAAAAATAAAAAAAGAAAGAAAGAAAGAAAGAAAGAAAGAAAGAAAGAAAGAAAGAAAGAAAGAAAGAAAGGAAGGAAGGAAGGAAGAAAGGAAGGAAGGAAGGAAGGAAGGATATCTATCAGACAACAGAATTAAAAATCACTACTGAGAAAAGCAAGTTGCCTGGCCTGGCCTTCACCTCCGCTACCGAGCCCCAGGAATGAGCCACTCTGCTGGATCATAGTCTTGATGGAGTTACAGCCCTGACTGGTGTGTACCTGCTGTGCGCTGGGCCCCTCTGTCAGTATTTAGTACTCATGTATGTACTCCCCCAGGGACGTCGATGAGGTCCGGCACCTTGCCCTCCTTATTCAACAGGAGAAACAGACATGGAGACGTTGGGTAACCTGCGTGAAGACTCCACGAACGACCACAGGCTGAGCGGGCGGTTCCACCACTCCTCCTGGAGAAGCTCTTAGTCTGGCTGAGGGTATACCCTACCGGGGCCAGCCTGAATAATCACAGCTGGCTTCTGAACTTCTTCCAAGCACAAAGTCCCAATTGATGATGGTAAACTTTGCTCTGAGTGTGTTCTGTCAACTTGGAGACAGAATTAAGTAACTTGATGTGTTGCAGGCCATGGTGGGAGAAAGTCCTCCCAGGTAAGGAGCTCCAGGCAAGAAGAGAAGCAGATGTTAACTGAGTGCGCGCGTGGTGTGATGTAACTCCTCTTCCCTGGCCCCTTGTACAATCTAGAATAAAATCTACTCATAAATGATCTGTGACATTGTAGTTGCCTTTGGGCATGAGAAGAATGGTGAAGCCCTGGTCTAAGGAGGGCAAGCTCATGGGTGAAGCCAGATATCCAGTGACCTGAGTCAGAGTGAAAACATGGAGAAATCAAGGATGGAGACACCAAGGGGAGGGCTGACATAGAGTGGTAGGGAAACCCTCTCCCGGGTCCGGGGCCCTGGGGACCTGTAACCGAGCAACGTTTGCATTCGCACTCTTCAATGCCTTGCGTAACAATGGCTAGAATCACAGGCTTGGCCTGCAGAACCTGAGGATCCGCAGTCCTGGGGCTGATGGGGAATGCAGCTCTATTTCTGGCCCCTGCACTCACCGGTAGGTGGTTTCCGGAAGGAGATCTTTTACCATGTGGCTGGTGGTGCTGCCCACGGTGATGCTGGTATCTCCAAGGTCAATGTTGTAAGCAAGGATTTCCGATCCGTTATTGCATGGCTCTTCCCAGTTCAGTACAAGGCACACGGAGGGTGAATCGGGGTGGGTGGTGAGGGGCTGCTCCTCCAGGACGCAGAGAGTGGAGACGGGGTCCGGGGCAGATGCTGGTGTCTGGCAGAGCACGAGTTCACTGTACGGCCCTGCGCCCGCTTGGTTGAAGGCCTAAAACACAGAACAGCAAGGCCGAGGCCGCGCCACACTGTCAGCACATTCGAAAGCGTCCACATCGCGGCCGTTAGACAAGGCTAAAGGAGGACGCGTTTTACTTCTAGATGCACGGGGACCAATCACTCCTAGAAAACATCCACTTTAACCTAGTGACTGTTTCAAAAAATGACAATCACATCTTTTCCATGAATAAACCAGAAAACAGCCACACCGTCAGCACATTCGAAAGCGTCCACATTGCGGCCGTTAGACAAGGCTAAAGGAGGACGCGTTTTACTTCTAGATGCACGGGGACCAATCACTCCTAGAAAACATCCACTTTAACCTAGTGACTGTGTTTCAAAAAATGACAATCATATCTTTTCCATGAATAAAGCAGAAAACAAGGTCGTTAGCACCTCTGATAAACATAATTGAGAAGAACACTTTGCATTTCATGGGCCACTTCGGTTTCTGTACCGTCTTAGACGCCATCTGAACAATGCCCTCCTGAGGTCGCTATTGAATGGAGGTATCTTTATCTGCCTTTTACGGAGGTGGGAACTCAGACTCGGATGAAATAATCCAGTCTCTGGATTTACAGGGCAGGATCCTCCTGGCTGGTCATTACCCTCAGCCTGATCTGTGAGCGCTGCTGGCTGCCAGGACTGAGTCCCTGGTTCCTCCCCTTTGCTCTCTCAAACTCTTGGAGATCTGACCGTTTCTTGGGGGTAGATACCACCAATGTCCTACTCCCCAACAGAGATGTGGACGCAGGCCTCTGCCCGCATGCCAGTCGAGGCCCCTTCACCCACGGCCCACTGAATACCTCCACCTGGTGCCACCCACTGAGCATCTGTGCTTGGAGGGGGCAGGCGTCTCAAACGTGAGTGTCCCTCAGCTCCTCGCCTCTGCTGTGTCTTTACAGAAGGCCCCGTTGTGTCTCCTGTAGTCTTCTTGTCCTCGGGTCACTCAAGGAATGACGGGGTCACCCGTGGGTACTTTCCCTCTTATACTGCCTCCAGCACACCATCCTGTACAGCTCTGGTCAGCTACACGCTGTCTTGTCTGGCCATCCAGTGACCTCTAACTGGTCTCTGCTGGCCCTTGCCCCAGTCTATATTTGCCACAATCAGAGTGATGCTGTTAAACGAGTCATGATTTTCCCCTCAGATTCCTTCAGCGACTCTGCATCTCATTCAGAGCAAACTTCAGGCTCACAGATGCCTGAGACCCTTCTCTGGTCTGCTCACCAACACCCTTCTAGAGCCCCCATCAGCCCTCTGATTTCATTGCCTGCTAGTCTCTATTTTAATTCACAGAATTAATAAAATAAAACCCCAGCAGAGTGTCGGCTGACAGTAGGTGCTTAGGCCCCTTCCTCTCGGAGAAAGTCATGAAGGCTGACTTCACAGCAGACTCTCTGTTGAAGACAGTGTACATGGTAACAGCCTTCGTCTGATCACCACACGGCATGCACGCTTTCAAAACGCATGTTGTGCTCCATAAAGACACACAACAATGAAATGTAAGAAATTACTCAATAAGAAAAAAAAGTTCTCATTTTCAACTCATTATTTTAGATTTACAGAAAAGTTGTGAAAAACAGTAGAGACATTTGTGCTCCTCGCATAGCCTGTTTGTCCTAGTAGTAATATTTTACATCACCACAGAATAATAATTGAACCTGGGAGGTTATCATGGGTATAACACTATTAAGTCAATACAAACCTAATTCGACTATAACTGATTCTCAACAATTCCTTTTTGTGCGCTAGGATTCTACCCGGGTCCTACTTTCTTTTACTACCTCGACTGCATGGAGAACTTTTTTTTTTTTTTAGTTAGATCATCTGTTGTTATAAGTTTTCCAAGAAAAGTGAATTTTAAAGCACTTTTTACAAATAATCATGTGCCAAGAATATAATAGAATATAGAATATGCTGCACATAAATATAATTACTTGGCATCTCTTAATTAAAGTATTCCTAAGGAAGAAGATAACAATTTAAAAGTTACTGAGTAAAATATGTAAGAACTGTTTCACTCACACAGTAGAATTATTATGAAGATTTACTTTTTTTGTTTGTTTGTTTGCCACAGGGCACGTGCACTCACTAGAGAGAGATCAACCCCTGCCCCGGGTAGGAGATAGCCACGTCCCAATCCCTTCTCCACCCTCCCCTTAGGGTTCTGGGCATGCACACATGTGACAGTATGATTTCCAAGCTGCCAGGTCCAGGACTCAAACCATGGCTGGTCATGTGGGAGTACAGTGCCTTAACTACCATGCCACCTACTAGCCCCACAAAGGTTTAATTTTTAAGGTGTAGAATATTTACAAGGATATTTAAGTTAACTCTGTCTTTATAGTAATGTCTAAATAAAAGTAATTTATATGTGGTCCATAGATACGAAGAAATTGATACAGACTGAAGAGGCCCATCCACTGGCAGTAACTGCTAAGCACAGCGGTCGTGCTGGTGCAAGCACACACTGTACTTCACAGGGGCCGACTCGTTCGATAACAGATAAGCAGTGGTGCCCCTTTATTCGTAGGTGATCGAGTCGAAGGTCCACAGTGGGTCCCTGACACCACGGATGATACTAAACGCTACACACATTAAGTTTTATCCCATATGAGTATACTTATAAAATTTAATTTATAAATGAAACACAGGGAGAAATCAACAATAACCAATAATAAAATGGAACAATTATTACAATATAATGTAATAAAAGTTTTTTGATCGGGCTCTATCTCAAAATCTTTACTGTACTACACGCCTCCATTTTCAGATCACAGTTGACGGAGGGAAACAAACTATGGAACACAGAAGCACAGAAGCACTGGCAAGGGGGGCCAACATACAGACATTTAGAAATAGTTTCTATCCCTGACAACACAGGAAAAAGATTATTATGCGGACTCTATTCTTATCAATGTATCTTTTCAGAGGCAGTTTTGGGAAGACAGTGCTAAGTGACAACATATGCTCTGAAAGGAAGAAAGGAAACAGAAGAACATTTCGAAGAGACACCCAAACACAAAAAGCAGAGTGGAGCGAACCTTTTACTGTGGTGGCAGACGGTTCTTTCTTTATATCCTGCCTTGTTCCCAAAACAGGACCACGTAATTTAACCTCTTCCCAGTGACTCAGCATCCCTACTGAAGATCACATACTGCACGGTGACTCTGACTCCCTGACAGAGGGTCAGTTACGTCCCTGTGCGCCGTTCCAGAGGAAGGAAGGAAGGCGTGTAATGGAGAGTTCAATCCGAAATACTTGGGAGGAAGCAGACTTTGGCGCTAAGAGAAAAGCTTCCATTGATCTAGAAAATTAACTTAGAGTGGAAATGTTTTCTCCAAGAGGCCAGAAATACTCGGTACACATGTAATAAGCCACTTGATCCATGACTTAAAGCAGATGGAAGCCCCAATCTGCCGTCTTTGCTTCTTTATCTACGAAAATCTCAATGAGTGTGAAGACAGAACTCCAGGTCACCCCATCTCAGTACTCTCTGGATCTTTCCTGACCATGCTATGATCCGGCTACACCATTAGGCTCGAGAAATGCTACTGAACAAGGAGGGAAATGTGAACAAAACCCTATTTTCTCAGGACACTGAGACTTTATTAAAAAAAATCAGTTATCCAAGTGAATAAAAACAAAGTAAAGCATGATTATTGTGATTCTGGGGGGTTAGGTTTGAACCAACTGATCTTGAAGTTCTATTCGAACTTCAAATGGATTGGAAGCTTTCAGATGGCCAACCTTGATCTGGCCACTCGGGGGAGTCCTAGAACCTAAGGCAGTTAGCATTGTTTCCAGCTCCACCTAGCGGCTGGTATGTGAAGTTTCTGTCTTTCGCCAGTTCTCAGCGTCTTCCCCACAGAAACAGGCATCTCAAAGGACTCAGACAGGAGGGTCTCTAAGGAGCTGTGTCACCTCTCCCTTGAACGCTCATTTGTTTAGTGAACTGACAAGCAAGCAAGATGCAAGGGCAGTGAGTGGAGATGAACCTGATTTTGCTCTTACACTTTAGATCCCGTAGAGGCCAAAATTAACTGTAAGATACCCTAACAATCAAACTTATGAAAAAGTAATCTTTCCCCATTATCCCGTAATCCCATAAAGAATCTTAGAGCTGGATTTCCGAGGGGCCTTCCGGGGCCGCATGATCTTGAGTAACAGCGACCCACCTGTAGTCTACAGCAGTACTGCGCGGCAGGCAGCAGGTCTCGGATTTCGAAGCTGGTGTCCGGGCCGTGATAGACGAGTTCTAAAGACTCCTCATCCTCTCCCCACTCCAGCCTGTACTCTGAGATGTCGGCGCCAGACCTTTCGGGACTCTGCAAACCAGAAAGTCAGTAAGTGGGTACTTTGATTA